GGGGGTAGGACTAGATAAGTCTAACTTCTTCCTACTCCGTTCAAGCATGTACCAGGTATAAGCAAATTGAAAATATATTTGTGGATATGTCTGTAATTATGTGTGTTGACATACTGACTGTTGTTACATGTTTGAAAGAATAAATCAAAATCAAATCAAATCAAATCAAAGCTGACGGCCCGTCCAGTCTGACACCTCTGAGGGCACGTTCGGGCACAAAGCAACTTGATTCAATTCATGGAAAGAACACGATCATGATTCAAATCAACTATTGTTGACTGTTCATAGGAAACAGGAAGACAAGGGCATTCTACTCTGTCTCAGTCTGTTTAGTTGACCCGACCTCTTCTCACTGTGTCTCCTCCACACAAACAGCAGTCATAGCTCATCTGGCCGCTAGAGGACTGATTCACTTGAAGGTAAACAGGCGTCTTTAGTGGACATTTGCTGAAATGGCTCTTGTTTTCCTTGGAAAGAAAGTGTCTCAACTGGGAGCCCTGTTTCTTTTTAGAGCTGGCTTTGTGCACACGGGCATCGTCACGTTGAACCAGAAAAGACAGAAACACAAACTGCCAACACAGAGTTGGAGGAACACTGTTGTCTAAGGTATTACTCCAGAACAACCGCGCTGTCAAGGACGTACCAGGGGAGCTTTCAGCCATACTGTGCCTCTTCTACCTAGAATTATAGAAGAGTAGCTGACAGTTCAATTCACAAACCTGCTGTTTCTCCATACAGTCTACCCTAAATGACACAGTAGACATGTTTTAGAGACTTTTGCAAATGTATTTAACATACAAAATTAAAATTTGTTGTTTCCAAAAGTGTTTGGACCCTTTGCCCTGGCTCCAGGCTTCGCTCAGGTGCCTCCAGTTTGCTTTAATTATTGATTATAAATGAAAGAGTCGTGCTGCTGCTGGGTTCTCTCCGGGTACTCCGGCTTCCAAAGACATGCGCCTTAGGGACAGGGAGCCTGATCAGAATGGAGGGAAGGGCGGAAACAGACAAAACACAGAAAGGTGCTGGAAGAAAACCTGGGACTGGGAGTGAAGCTCACCTTTCAGCACCATATTGACTACCAAGACAAACAGTCCCTGAGTGTCCCTGGGGGCCGGGCCAAAGTCCAGACCTAAACCCCAGAGAACATCTGTCGAGAGACATGCAGAAGGCAGCTCAGACACTTTCCATCCAGTCTGACGGAGCATGAGGGGATCTGTAGGAAGAAGGAGATAAACTGTCCAAATCCCTTACTCCCTTACACCAAACCCCCTGCTGTGGGTGTTTGGTGCAACCATTGTTGACAATGTGATATGAAGTAAATGTGAGGTTGGTTAACCCTGTGACACTGAACCTAACACATAAATGAATGAAGTGAAGGTGAGGACGTGAATGTGACCTTTCCAGATGTCTTCGGCTACAGCATCACCAGGTGACAGAGATGAGCATCAAATAGCATTACACCACAAATTGTTTTATCAGAGTATACGGGGGACGTTTTTATCAACATGCGTATTTATTGCTGCTCTGAACTGCCATGTATGCTTGTACTTGAAATGGAAAATTAAGCCTCTGCTAACAGTGACACACCTTAGGGCTGTTTCATACAACTGTGGCAACAGCTGCAGCAGCAGCAGACCACACACCACAGGAAGTCGGTTACATTAAACAGCCAAAAGTGGCTAAGTATTTATCAGTTGGTGACGGAGAACCATCACAGGCTCTGTGCCCTCACATGCCCTCCCGGGTCTCCGCAGACTGGGAGCCTTGCTGGAACTGGCAGGACGGAGGAGCTCCTCTGTCACATAATCCTGTACGTTGCCAAGCCCCCATACAACTGTTGGTCCACACCTAACCCCAACCCCACTGTGCATTTTTGAAATTTCCTGGCAGGGAGGTGCGAGGCAGAAAGCAAGGGTGTACAAAGTCTTTAGTCCTTCCTGGTTAGAGGCTCATAACATTATGCACAAAGTCCTGACAGCAGAAATAGTTTTTAACCTGGAGGTTGTTTATTTAGGTGCACTTCCTTCACAAAATCTTTGATTCCAATGCCATTATACTTTAATTAAACATAAATATATAAACAAAGAAGCCGGCCTTCCACTGACTCCAGAGCTGTCTGATTTATATGCTGTTAGCGAACAAGCTAATCACCAGCCCATCCACACGTCAGCAGGGTTTGGATTACAAGAACCTGGACTTCACCGTGTGTTTTTCTCTTTAGTCTGGAGAGTTCGCTGTGAGGCACACCACACTTCATCTCCTGTCTTCGCTGATTGATTTGGTACACTGATGTATAATCTACAGTACACATCAGATTTAGTCATAATCTCGTGACATTTTGTGCGGTTATCTTGTGTGTGTCCTTCGTGTGTTTCCACATACTTCACATATTTCCTGTGCTGGGGTGCCATGTGTCTTCTATGGTTTGTGGGTTTTACAGTGTAATCCAATAAACCAGGTTTAAATAGCAGTGTGTGGTTATCTGATTCAGAGAGGTCTGTGCACTGTCTCACCAACCAAAACTGCTGAATAGCTTTTGCAGATTAAAGCTGAGTTTATTTTTTACAGGATGATTTTCATACTGTAACTTGTACTTGACAACCAGGACACCTCATTAATCATTATTATCAGCTGCTGTGGATCATTTCATAAGACCAATCTCATAGTCACATGGTCCTGCTTCAGGTTTCTCTACATTACGTCATGGAGCTGCAGACGACTCCTGCGTTTGGATCAGATGATAAACGGTGTTTTTAGTCCGACTTAGCACAGAGGAGCCCTGGGAGAGTGTTAGGAAACCATGAGGAATCTACAGTCTCATGTGAGCTGTCGGTTATATATGTTGTGTTTGACTGCGTATCATTGTGATGCTTTGGGTTCTACTCTTCACACTGTTTTGTTTTAAATGTTATCTTTATTTTTGTCATGGCTGTGTTGATACACATGCTATATCTCAAAAGCAAATATATACATGTACACTGTACACGTATACACGTGGTTTACACTGTATTATGAAGTTGTTATAATGGTGTTGACTGGTGCCCCCTGCTGGTTCAATGACAGAATTACACACTATCGCTTTAAAGGACCCATCTGTTTTTGCTTTGTTAGTTTTTTGTTTATTACCTCAAAACCAAATTCATATACATAAGAACAGTTTGAGTTGGACCCTGACAAACAGCCTGTTTTGTACTCTGGTCCCCTGAGAAAGTGTTCAGGCCCTTCACCTTCAGCACTGTTTGGGTTGTAGAACTGATTTGAAAGGGACAGGAATTATGGTTTCTGCCCATCAGTCAACCTTCAGTGATCAAGACTCACAAAGTGGAAACATGTTTTTAGCGTTCTTTGCAACTTTATTAAAAATCAGAAACTGAAATTTGTCATTCATAGTTTTTTCTGTGGCTCCAGTCTACAGCATCCTGAAGACAGGAAAACACGACCCAGGGCAGCACACTGTTACAAGAGCCAAAGTGACAAGCGTCGGCCCGTGCACTCAACTTTGACTCTCCATCCCAAACCGTATAGTCAACGGACGATTACGGGGAGAGTTGAAGAATTCCCCTAACCTAACCCAGTGTGTCCTGTTTGAGACTGGAGTCCACCCGTGGCAAACTGAGCTGACTGGACAGAGTGTAGAAAGACACACACCTGTGTAGATAAGGCCCCGTGGTTCACACTGCAGGTCAGGACACAAACCAGGAGCTCTCTGTGGTGAGGCCCAGATCAGGTACAGGGGATCAAACCATGTCTAAAGCTCTGATTGTCCCCAGGAGGAGTGGCCTCAGTAACTGGGACATGGAGGAAGTCTGGAACCAGCAGGACGCTTCCTGGAGTCGACGTTCGACCAGACTGAGGAACAAGAAGGGCCATGGTCAAGGAGGAGACCAGGAACTCAGCGGTCCCTCTGACAGAGATTCAGAAGTTGTCTGCAGTGATGGAGACGGTGCTAGAGGACAAGTGTCTCAGCAGCTTCTCCATCAGTCAGGCCTTTATGGTCAAGCAGCTGCTCAGAAGCCACTGTGAGCGAAAGGATGATGAAGCTGCTGGAGTTTGTCTCACTGCAGTTAAAGCAGGGGTGGGCTAGTCCTGTCCTCGAGAGCTACTGCCCTGCTGATTACCTGGATCAGGTGTGTTCAGTCAATCAGAAGCTGGAGGACACTAATTCACTCTGTCTTTCCTCACTCCACCTTCATCTAAGATGGCATCTTCCAGCTTCTGACTGACTGAACACACCTGATCCAGGTAATCAGCAGTGAGTAGGGCAAGGCAGGGCAGTGGCCCACGAGGACCGGGACTGGCCTCCCCTTATTTAAAGGGTTTGAGAGCAGAAGGACAAAGACTCTCTGGTCTGATGAGAGAAAACCTGAACTCTATGGGCAGAACTCCGACCAGGAGTATCTACAAATAAATGAACTAGGTCCTGAATGTAAATGAGAGTTTACAGTTTTTAATTTTTAATACATTTGAAAAAAATGTCTTCACTCCATTTTACATTTTAATTCACAAAGTTCAAATAGTGAAGGGTGGATAAAGGTTCCTAGAAACTGACACCAAGTTATTAGAGTCAACATGAGGCTCATACAGTAATTACATAATGAATAAATCAAGTTTATTACCAGCTTTTTAATAAGTCAGTTCTGCAGCCACGACATTGATTTGGTGCATGAATGAACTTTCACTTTGTCAGTTCCACTGCTTGATAACAGTTTTGTGCACATTTGGAGTTGCCAAAAGTGTATTCTTAGGCTAGTCGTTTCCATAAGCTTCCAGTCTTTGTGCTAAGCTAGGTTAAACATGTCCTGGACCTACCTGTGTTTCTTCAAGTCTTTATTCTGTAACACTCTTCCCTCAAGGTGGTCTTTGGTAAATCCCTGCCTCACAGCCAGTATGTCTGTGGTTAGATCACATCCTTGTGCTGTGCAGAGGTTGGAGTTTGCATCATTTCGCTTGCATCCTGTTCCTCTGCATCGCTCACTGCCTGGCTTCTGATACAAGGGAGCATCTTCCTGACTGTCTGTCTGAAAGGTGTGTAGAGGTAGAAGAAGAGCAGGGGGTCGAAGCAGAGGTGCAGCACGCTCAGCAGCAGCGTCGACTCCTTCCCTAGAAACAGCTGCCTTCTGGTCTGGCAGTCTGTGATGACTTTGGTCTGCGCTAACGTGTAAGGTGTCCGGACAACATGGTAGGGAACAAAGCTGAGCATATAGGCCACCGCCACCGCCGTCACACTCCTCACAGCTCGCCGGGCATCCACCCAGAGTTTGGGGTTGCTACGACTTGCCAGGAGTCTTTTAAGCGCCAGACCACTGGAGATGAGCACAGCGATGGAAGCATTGAGGAACAAAGCTGTGCAGAGGAAGACGGCCATGGTGTGCCAGTGGAGACCAATGTCCTTCTTCAGGGAGGAACAGCTGAGGTACTGCTGCTCCTGTGGAGGCAACACACAGGGAGGTTTTACAGAAAGGTCATTTATAGTGTTTGAGTTTTTCACTTCAAGTGATTCTCTAATCTCCAGCTGTAGCTCCCTTCTGTCTTCACTGGTGAATAAATGTGATGTTTAGTGATAACGGAGGCTGAAACAGAAACAGTGTAAACAGAATGCAGCTGGAGCAGAACACAGTGATACCTATCTCAGTACCTGGACTTGTTGTATGGGCAGAGCCATGTTGGGCACCATGATGAGCAGCAGCAGCAGCCACACAACCAGAGACAGAAGCTGGGCGAAGCTGACCTCCTGCAGCCGCAGCAAACGCAGAGTGTGGCAGTCCTGCAGACCCAGCACCACATGCACATGTTTACAGTGAGTCAAATACTCAGTGAGACACCTGAGGATAATAAACCATCACCTGCCCCCATCAAGTCATATTCCCATACTGCACCTGCAGGTAGCGGTCTATAATGATGAAGGCGAGGAAGGCGATGGATGCGTACAGGCTGATGTAGATGGTGACGGCGCTGGCCTGGCAGTGAAACACCATGAGGCTCCAAGGTGCCACCCCAAGATCCTTCAGGATCTTAAAGGGCAGCGCGAGCAGCAGCAGGAGGTCGGCCGCCAGCAGGTTGACCAGGTAGACGCCGGTGCTCTGCCGCTGCACAGACGCAGTCAGAAACATGGAACAGCATTAACACACCAGCTTCATATTGAAATCCCACATTTATCTCAGTTTATCCGATTAGATCAGCTACACCCTGTAGTTCTCTTTTCTTCTTGTGTGATCTCATTTTAGTTAGCATCATCTCATACTCAGTATCTAACCTCATGCAACTTCAGCTCACTCAGTTTATATAACAGCCAAGTGTCATCAGTTCACATCCAGCTTGTCGTTTCATCTCCCAGTCTCTTCTAATCTCTTCCATAAACCACTGACCCGACTTCTCGTCTCCCCTCATTTCTTTACAAAACATTTTGATCATTTCAGATGTTCTCTCCTCATCTGATGTCATTATTTCATCTTCCTCAGCTCATCTGATCTGATCTGATCTGATCTGATCTGATCTGATCTGATCTGATCTGATCTGATCGGCTCCCCAGGCCTACCTGGGCTCCGGGACTGCGGACGAAGGCCCACACAGACAGCAGAATTCCAGGCAGGCTGATGATGAAGATGAGGATGTAGAGGACAGTGAAGGGTCCCATCTGGTCATTGATGATACATTTCACCCCCTGCTCGGCTCCTCCAGAGCTGACGTTGGATGAAGGAGGCATCATGAAGAGCTGTGGTGCTCACCCAGAGCTGAAAAACACAAAAATTTGAGCACCTGTTTGCTTCCACTCATGGGAAATAGATTCACTGTTAAATGTTTAATAAACTCAAAGTGAAATAAAATTCATCTTCAGCATTGTTATTCAGAAAAAAGCGTTGCAGCGTTGTTCTTACTGTGGAGGGGTCTGAGGAAGTCTGTATCGTCAGCAGCTGCACTGATTGTGGTCTGGATGTTTAGTGTGATCTGGTGGGAAACAGGAAGAAAACAGCTTTTCAACCCTTGCACACACTTTACAGACGCTAAAAACCTCTCTGGAACCACAGCGTCGTCATCTGAGCGATTGCAATAACGATTGAAACTGTGCCATGTGTCAAGCATCTTCTCTGGGGTTGTGTAGCAGCCAGTGACACAGGAAACATCAGCTTCTGGGTGCAAATGCCCTGCAGTCGGCCCAGAAGGTGAAAGTGGAAAGAGGCTGGCTTCTGCAACAGGACAATGGCCTCGACATCCACCCTGGGGCGCTTCAATGCCAACTGAAGTGTCTCAGGAGCTGCTTTCTAAGTTCAGAAACCAACAAAACAGAATTTACGGGCTGCCCCGATGTTTTTCTACAGCTGTGTTAATGGATTGTCCTACTCTCATGTATTTACTATCAGAGTTAAAGCTGGGAAAATGTTAGTGTTGGATTATTAGAAGTCCGGCACTCGGAGACTTCAGAGTTTAAGGTTTGTGGGAACCAGACATAATTTTCTACAGAATAATCAGACCTTTCCCTCCACATCCAAACTGTGTGCAGCCCCTCGCTGCTGCCACGAGCTAGTGATGCAAACCTGTTAGATGAACACATCATGTACAACACACCGCTGGGCCACTGATTCCTCCTACAAATCACAACCCATGGAACTGTTCCGTTATTAATACAACCTGATAAATTAAAGGATTCAATGAAAGAATCAACTGAAAAGTGTGATTTAATAAATCAAATGTTTGGGAACCACCCAGTGGAAAGGCAGAGGAGGACCTTTTGAGAGTTACTCATATTACAAGTTTTTTTACCTTTATAAAAAGAGTATACCAAACAACGACAGGTGAAGTATGATGCTACGAGTTCCAGGACAGCAGAGGCCCTCCTAGCTGTACGTTAACTGGCTCTCTTCCCTTCAGTCCCTCTGGTTTCGGTGCAGGCTTTTAAAACATTTGTAAGCTTGTTGAGGATGAAATTCATTTGGAAGTGCCTTGTGCCAGTGTCTGGAGCAGAAGGTGACAGACAGGCAGGAGAGCTGCACAGGATGTGAAACAAACTGTGCGGTACATACAAAGCTGTCACAGCAGGAAGTATTAACTAACGGAGAGTAACACAAAGCATGCTCTGTACAACACAATCCCCACAGTCAACAGCCGCAGGAGGTTTGCATGTCTGGCAGCCTTTCCAGTGCATTAACAAGAAACTGGCCTCTCCTCTCACATTATGCACAGAAATGATCACAAACTTATACGTGACATTAGAAGCTGCAGTGAGAAAACACCATTCACAGTCTCATTAATGTTTGTAATAATACAAAAGGCTAAAAACCTCCCGTACGACACAACCTCACTAAAAGGTATATCATGGCTTCCTCTGTGGTTTTCTTCTCCAGGCAGGGATGGGGATTTTTTTTTTTTTAAATGACGTCAAATTATTGCTTTGACTACTTCTGTTTTTTGCCATTTAAAACCATTTCTCAGAAGCCCACAGACGGCGTGGGTTAAATGTCACTGGTTTGACTGGCAGGCATCCAGCTGTGACGGTGAACTGGGATAAACTCTGATGTTTCAGAGAGACTGCAGCTGAGGTGGACAGATGACATTAGAGGAGACCATGGTGGAGGACGTGGTGTCTCTCAACTCTACTGTTGTTATTCCAGCTTCTCCACCCTGTGTTGTCAAAGTACGGTCTGTAAATCAGCCCCGCCTGCCCCCTAGCCAAGGTTAGAAGAAGGGTTTTTCCAGCCAGTAGTCATGTCAAACAGCCATGGAGGAGCTCTGGGCGGCTAAAAGTCCGACTGGACTCGTTCGACTCTGTCACTGTAAAAACGTAAATCTTTAAAAATCTGTTTCATCTTTAAAGAAGCCTTTTCATTTGCTAACACTGAAACTGTGCCATGTGTCAATCATGGAAGAGGAAATCATCTTCTCTGGGGTTGTGTAGCAGCCAGTGGCTCAGGCTCATGGCTAATGTAGTATTTAGAGCCATCCACCAACCCACATTTCCACTGTCAGGACAAACCTTTCTCCAGTTCACAAGTCACTGAAGTGTGATGATGTGTTTTAGCTACAGACTGAACAAAGAGACATCACCTTCTGGTCACCATCTGTGTTTGGTTAAAAGAAAACATCCTTCACAGACATTCAAACTGTCAGTCAAACTTTGACCTCTGATGAAAACTTCTCCTGTTTCAGCTACAGTCAACATAATCACCAAGGCTCGGTGTGAAGACTGAATTAATCACAACAAACTGAGCTAAGGAGGAACCAGCATCCTGCCTGAGGTGGATGAAATATGGTTTTAAAAATTCAGATTAAACCCGAACATGTCCTTACCTCCTGTGCCGTACTCTCTGGGGGCTTAGACAGTCATCTCACAGGTCTTCAGACCACGTGTCGGGTCCTCGAGGACTGTCCGGGTCCTCTGAGTACATTGATTCACTGCTGTGTGAGGGCAGACTGTGTGCGGAAGCTGCATGTAAGGTGTTTTTCTGCCTGTATGCTGCTGTCGTCAGTGTGACCACAGGCCATGCCTCTGGCAGCACACACACACGCACACACAGGCAAAGGTTTAAGGGCTTTTCAGCAACTGAGTCACAAAAAAGTCTGTTTCCACATGTCACCATTTTTCTCAAAATGACAAACAGGCAGAAGGGAAACTGAGATAGATGTCTAACATGTACAGGCTTCACTTTGACAACAGTCACTTGTGTGGGAGTGTGAGAAGAGAGAATGAATGTATTTCACAGTAAGTAAGTAAGTAAGTAAGTAAATTTTATTTATATAGCACCTTTCACAGACAGAGTCACAAGGTGCTTTACAAAGTCAAAGGATAAAAAGAGATAAATAATCAGTCATACGTAGAGTCAGGGGTAGGGCATTCCACAGTCTTGGAGCTGCGACCTGAAAAGACAGGTCCCCCCGAGATTTAAAACGAGTTATGGGGACCACCAAAAGAGTTTGGTTTACAGAACGAAGAGTACGTTTGGGGGAGTATGGGGTCAGCAGATCGATAATGTACTGAGGCACCTGCCCATGTAGTGCTCTAAATGTCAGCACTAAGATTTTAAAATCGATTCTAGCTTTGACTGGTAACCAATGGAGCGAATACAAGACTGGAGTGATATGAGCTGTTCTAGAGGTTCCTGTCAGGAGCCTCGCAGCTGCATTCTGGACAATCTGAAGACGATTTAAAATGGACTTATTACAACAGGTAAAAAGAGAATTACAATAATCAATGTGTGAAGAAACAAAAGCATGAATAATCATCTCAAGATCTCCCTTAGATAAAATCTTCCTTAATTTAGATGTTTCTCTTAATTTAGATATATTTCTCAAATGAAACACAGTGAATGATGATGTTCATACAGCACAACCTCTGAGCAAAACCAGGCAGGCCAGTGTGAACTGCTTATCAGGTGGTCGAACAGTGACTGTTTGGTCACGGTCAGGAAGGAACCAGGTGTGAACTTCTCTCTCAACTCCTCGTTCATTCTTGACCCAACTATTTCTGTCACTTTTCATGTGACCAGCTGAAGTCCACTCTGTAAATTTCTTCAGGACGGACTGTGGCCTTGTACTAGAACTTATTAGAGGCTGATATTAGTAGGAACAGACAGCAGTCAGAGTCACGGCGAGCTTCGGCCATGATTAAAGGGAGCACAGCTGTAAACCCCCCATCTGACACACTATCATCAACCCGTGACGCTGACTTGACAACCTGCTGGTTATTGACACACCCAGCAGACGTGTAGTCTAAAATCTATATGTGACTTTATATTCAACTGGTTTGTTTGAGCGCCGCAGTCCAGTCACACGACTTAGATCCATGTACTGATTATTGATAGGCCGTGGTTGTTGTGTTAACATGGTGGTTCGCTCTGTGCAGACTATTGATGTGTGTGCTCATTAAAAGTGAGGAATGTTTGTGTATGCAGACATGACTGCGAGACGTCCTGTGGATGAGAGCGCAGGTGCATCTTATTTTTGTCTTGGGTTTCCCCGAAGTACTTCTATTGTTGTTTAGTTCTTTTTTTTTTGCAACATAACACATTTACAGGACAAAGCATGAAATAAGAATTAAACCAAATAAACTAGGAAAATGAAGATGGTGTAAATGTAAAGGAATGAAAAGACAGTTTGATGAAAAATGAATGAACGTAGTAACAAAATAACAAAGAAGAAAAAAACAATACATCAACATAAACCATATACTATATACTTTTCCATTCACATACTTATATATACACTCAGATATATATGTAAACACATTCATAACACAAAAATAAATGAAATTAACAGATCTGTAAATGATTGGGGGGGGGTTGTATTCTCAGATAATTTGGTTTGATTGATCGGTGTGACACTCAAAACAGAAGCATGGACAATGAGGACTAATGACAAAAACAATAATAAAGTAAAAAGCAACTTGTTATATTTCTAGGAGTTTGTGGGAATGTGCACGGCCTTGGCCTCAGGTTTCTGGTTTAAGTTAAAAGAGGTTAGAAATTCAGGTTCAGGTGGTTGTGATCTAATCAAGCAAATGTGTCGCAGCTTTTCACTGCAACTTAAACCATTAAACAGCTACGTGCATGTGCCATGTATCATGGGTCACCACAGGAACAGCTTCTTTTTGCAAAGCAGTATTTGTGATCTCAAAACAGCACTCATCGACCACATGTAACACTGCTGACGTGGTCGGTTGCTTCTTGGAAAACTGAAACATTCTGGTCTGCAGTGAAAACATGAGGCACCAAAGCCTCAGAGGTTCAGGCTACACACGCTAGATACGTTCACACATATTTCTCACCCATCTCTTCAGCCTGGTTGGATTCATGCAAACTTTACTTGTTGAGAGCACAGTTTGCATTGTTCTGCATTGTCATTAGAACCAGCCTTTTAAATCTGCAGCATGTTTAATACCATTCAAGTCTAAATACAAGTAAGCTGACATTTCTCAACACAGGATCAAACTTTCCTTGTGTTAAAAACCTTTTTGATAAGATGTTGTTTCCAGGTTCAAGAATAAACCTTTTCACATTTTAGACTACTTTAAATCTCTAAAAACAATGATTTTCATTTTTTACAAAGGCTGATTTCTCTTCTGCGGGCACACGGGACCAACAACCCAGCCAGAAGTCTGAACCCTTCTGACATCTTCTGTTAAAGCAGGGTATTCCTGTTGACTGGTCTTTGCTACCTGCAGAATTCAGTCTTCACAGTCATGGATGTCACTGTCTGTTAGCTTCAAGCCAGAGGTGGGGGGCTCAAGTCACATGACTTGACTCCAGTCAGACTTAAGTCAAGTTGAGACTTGCTTGACTAACACTGGTAGAGGACTTGACTTTCACTTGGTATTTATGATTTGAAACCTGACTCAGACTTGAGACAGATGACTCAAAATTACTTTATTGCGTTAGTTAAATATTAGCATATTTTTTAGATACTGAAAAGTTGTTTTGTTTTTGAAACTGGGTGATTTCTAGTGCAAAGCAGGCAAACCCAGCAACCTACCACAATGTGGCAGACTGGTAGAGGGCAACACCGGTCGCTGCATGCAGCTGTGGACCAAAAATAATACAATGTGGACTCAAGGATCATGTTGTCAGTGACAGAAGAGAACAGCACTATGCAAAGTCTGCAGGGCAAAATCAGAGACACACACGTCTTCCCTGGACCCCATTTTATGCACCTATCAATTCTAATTATCAATTTAAATTTTTCCTTTGGTGCATTTGTAATGTAATTGCCCCAGACAGCTGCTTAAATCAGGTAGATTGCTGTGAGCTTTCTGGTTTTCTTTACATGACTCCCTCCCACCTCTGCTTCAAGCTACAGCATGCTGTTTTGCTTCATCAATGTGCTGAGCGACGTCTTCCTGTTGGTGTCAATGGAGCTGATCCGTCCGGCACTGGTCCTCCTCTCAGGGTTCTCTGCATGCGGTGCAACCTGTGTGATGGTCAAGACCGACCTCAGGCTCAGCTGGGCCCGGAAGGCCTTGCAGAAGATGAAGTAGATGAGTGGGTCCAAGCAGATGTTGAGAACCGACATCATGACAGTCATCTCTTTCAGGTAGAAGAAGGCCTGGCTCCACCTGCACTGCCTCCTCAGGAAGGCGTAGGGAAGGCGAACCAGGTGGTAGGGGACAAAGCAAATGCAGAAGACGCTGACCAGCACCAACATGTTCTTGCGTGACTTGACAAGTTTCTTGGAGCTGAAGGACACAGGCTGCCTCTGCTGCGCCAGCGACAGCCTGTGGGTCGTGCTGTAGTAGAAGCAGATCAGGGAGATGAGGACCAGAAGGAAGATGGTGGCAGAGCAGGAGTGGATGATTTTGTAGAGCAGGCTGAGTTGTTGACTATGCAGGACATCACAGCTCCCTGTGACGTGGACAGAGGGTAGCGGCTCCTGGGTGAGGAGGGACAGCAGGATGTAGGCGCCCATCATGGTCAGGAGGAAAACCCAGGTTAGCGTGGAGAGGACGTGAGCGGCTCGTACCGTCTGCAGGACGTGAGTTCCCAAAGGATGGACGATCTTCAGATACCTGGAGAGGTGAGGGGCAGGTGGCATGAATCAAAGGCGCCGCCCCCCATGATTAATGACAATCTTTGTTTTTATTTCTTTATTTATTTGTTGTTCTTTACATGCAGTGTCACATTTTTAAAATGTGCTTGGCTAAGTTTGGAAAAGACCACCCGATCTTCATACCCTGACCTTCTGCTGGCACTGGACGTAAATCACAAGAGGCAAATAGTCCAAATATGGATCTACTGAGCTGTGGATCAATTGTTAGTAGAATCTGCATGTTTTCTGTTTAGCATTCGCCTGCTGCTGTCCCAGAGTCCAAACTCTGAGTCTATGGTTTTGACATTGGTTACTGTACGTGATCTGGTTGGCATACAAGCGAGTACTCATGAGATGACATTTGCTCAGCAGCTAAAATGGACATGGCCCAGTTCTCTAAATGGTTTGGTGGTTTTTATATCTTAATATTCAACATAACCAAGAAAAGAGCAACCTCCAATTTAAAACTACAGCCAGCCACTACAAATTTTATCACACCTTCAAATTGCCATTATTAGTCACAGCTGATCTGACGACACCGCCCTTCAGTCACCAGTCCACTGGTGCAAGTGCATACTCATTGAAACTGAGCCTCCCCAAACTAGTAAGCTACGTTGTTAAAACAGGTTGCAAAACCAACCTTGAGACCAGCTGCTCCGTCCAGCCCGGCCCTACCTGTTTGCTGCGATGTAGCCCATGAACAGGATGCTGGCATACATGTTTAGATAGAAGGCAGAGGCTCCAAAGTTGCAGTAGACCTGGTGGACGGGGACGGAGCTGCTGGCAAATTTCATGATTCGTATGGGGAGACAGAGGCTGATGAGGAAGTCGGCAGCTGCCAGGTTCTTCAGGTAGATGGTCACGCTACTGGATGTCTGCTGAGCTCTGCAGAAATAGACCTTCAGGGTGAAACCATTCAGGAGTATGCCCACCTGCAGAGAGAACAGGGACAGGACTTGCTTTGACAGGTGATTTGTGCTCAGGCAGAGAAGGGTAATCTCCATATCTGAGACTCACCAGAAACACCAGACTGTAGACTAGCATGAAGAAAACATGACCCGAGGGGTCATGGTGATCGCAGTTGGTGGAATCATTCATCTTGTTGGTACCTGAGGACTGGTTGGATGACAGGGTCACTCCCACTCCTCCAAGGTCGCTCATGTTTATAGATATTCTGAGATAAAAGACAAACCCAGATGAATGATCAGTGAAGCGTTAGAAAGTGGTTTAAAAGTCTACATGCAAGAACTGATAAGAGCTCAGAGGGAAGTGGCCAAACACCATCGCAGTAGCAGATAAAAACACCACAGACTGGAATCCACCACAGGCAGCCAGGCAGTAGTTCCCCTACTAACTAGGTACAGCATTTGTTTACCAGAGTCACACGAGACCGAACAGCCTGAGCACTCAGTCTAAAGCTGGTGTGATCGGAACAGGTCTGCACAGAGAAAAGTGGGATTTTGCTGTTAATCACTAAAGGTGTCACTATAAATGGTGGCTCAACATATAAAATGGGCTGAAAAATGTTGTTTTAACTGAATCTGACCCCTGATCCATTTCAAAGGGAATCTGTGGGTTTTGTTTGCATGGTTTAAATCCCACAGTGGCAGTGAAATGATGTGTATGAACACTGTAAACACCGGTCACCCGACTGTACTGAAGCTTAAAACCTGGCTCAGACAACAAAAGCTCTTTGGTTAGCAGTGGTTTGGGTCCAATGCAAATAAACATACTGTGTCTGAACCATCTCCTCTGAGCTGAACCCAGAGCTGTGAGAGTTCATAATGCTGGAGTTGCTACAGGTGGAGGTTGGGCTGTCAGATCGCAAAGCAAATGTGCTGCCTGTGAACATTTAACTGTCATGTTCAGTAACAACATATTTACAACTTCCCAATATAACAGTTCCTCATCACATGCCCACAACTAAATGTATCTCAAGGTCAAAGGTAAAAATGTTTATTGTCATATGCACAGTTAGGAAACGTGTTTCCCTGTACAATGAAATTCTCACTTTGCCGTCCACATGAATGCCACAAAATACAAATGAAATATAAAGTAGATAAATAAGTAACACAAAATCGAAGGCACTTTAATCAGCAAATAAAATTTATAAGACATCAAATAAAATATATAAGAATATAATAAGAGAATGTATGCTGCATGGGAGCAACAGTCAAAATGTAACCCTTCCTCAAAGAGCCAGAGTGTACTGGTTTATAAAAATTTTTCAGTACAGTAACATCTGAGGGTATAAGGAGATAGCTGCCACTATAACTGCAGTTTGTTGTTATTTGGGAGGTTTTGGGGTCTTATCCTGAATTAATAACATGAAAGAGGGAGGTCTGCAGGGAACTCTGTTCACAGGTTCATGGTAGTCAATTACTGAGTGAATATCTCCGCCAAAAAAAAAAA